ACTTATGTTGTCCCCCCCAAACAATAAATTGTTCTGTAGTACAAGTACAGCATAGGTGGAATCAAAGAGGCAGTCCGACAAAATACCCCAATCTGGTATGCCAAATCAGAGAGAGAGAGAGCTTGCATCATAAGGTACTTCACCAGGTGACTTTCAGCTTGTTCTCATTGCCTCTTTCTTTGTCTGTTCTGTGAAGAAATGCCTTTTTGAGGCAGAGGCCTAACCTGAGTAAAACCTTTACAAGGATGTTTTAAAAGTTTTTCTCTCTTGACAAAGAACAGGCAGGGAGGAGGAAGTCAGTCAATGGCTTTCCAGGCTCACTTCAGCTACCTCTTGCTAAAAGGTCTAGCTAGAGACAATAGGAGGGTCCAGTCTCTCCCCCCTTTTCAAGCAGGGAACAGAGACCTGGAGGTATTAAATACTAGAGAGACTTCAGGAAGGAATTCCTAAAGAATCTTCAAGAAAAGCTTTTCTGACCTGGCCTGACCTGGTCAGTGGGTGGGGAAAAGAGGGGTGATAAAATTCCTGGAAGCAAGGAGGAAGGGCTCTTTGGTGCTGAGTCCATTAGACTCAGACAGACTCAGACAGAACTCTTAACTGAGGTCTGGAGGAGGGTGGCCATTAACCATGTGCTGGCCTGAAGAGCTAGAGGAAGCTGCAAGATAATGGTAACTCTGTAGAGATTGAAAACATCCTAAGGTAAGGAGCCGGTCCTATATTTTAACATCTGATAGGGCATGTATAGCGAGAGGCACAGAGAAATTGTGTTTTTCCCATTTATTTTGAATCCTTTGCTCAGTCTGCTGCTGTGCTAAAAGTATGCTTGTGAACATTTTCTTTTTCATAAATATCTTATAACTTTTTATGCTGGCAGTGGTTCTCTGTACCACATAGACCTTCACCATCTTGGATATGCTATTTTAAAAGGAGGGCCTGGGGGAAGGCAGGCAGTTGTCAAGTGTCTATTCCTCCAGGGCTACACAAGGCAGTAAATGGTCCCTGTGGTGACCAGGCGCTGGGCAGTGGGAAGCACAGAGGCAAGGCCTCAGAACTTGGAAGGGAAGCTGGGAGTCTTGACCTTCCGAGTGGGCGATTCCTTACAAAGGTCAGGTGGTGGCAGTGGTTACTCGAGAGAGAAAGAAATGCCTCTCCAGGTATTGGGAGAAACAGCAGGGTGTAACAGGGCCTGCAGGCCAGAGTGGGCCCATTCTGCCACATGCTCCAAACTGCAAACTTCTGTTCTTCACATACGTCTGACCCCCTCTCCTTAGCTGAAGGAATTACATCTTTTTCAAGCTTTGATATTTCCTGGAACAAGAGAGCTAGCAGGAGACCATCTCCTGACAATTCACTCAGATTGAGGAAACATCTCAAACCACTAAATATTTCTTTTGTTTATAGGCCCTGACATGCACCATATGTGTTATGTAACATCAGAACAAACCAAAATGATAAACCCATTCATAGTAATCAGACAGCAAACCTACAATAACACACTGGAGAAACTGTAAGAATATGCCCATGAAAAGTGAAAAAAAAACTTGCCCAGTTCCAGAAGTGATCAGGTATGACTATAACATTTGTAATGGTTGTACTAAGAAACAGTAATGCTAGAGAGCCTAAAACGAACTGTATACAAAGTGAAGATAAGTAGATAGACAAACCAGAAGCCAGGTGACGCAGCAGCTGTGGTTTCCCTACTCCTGTGAGTAACTGAGAGAGCACCTCTGGCATTCTGGAAAGCCATGGACCAGAGCAGTGATGCCCAATGTGGTACCTGCCAGTGTATTCATGGGTACCGACTTGTGTCTTGTGCCTTGGAGATAAAATTCAAAGGTATGTGGAACAGAAAAGATTTAGCTTCAGGTCATTCCCTAACACATGACTGACTAGCAAAGGCCTGAGCTCATGCTGGACAGGTGCCTCACAGATGTAAACCAGCGTTGCCAACTCCAGTTTGGGAAATTCATGGAGATTTGGATGTAGTACCTGGAAATGGCAGAGTTTAGGAGGTGAGAGAGCTCAGTGGGGATGTGAAGCCATGGAATCTGCCTTCCAAAGATGCCATTTCCCTCAGGGGAGCTGTTCTCTATAGTCTGGAAGTCCAATGAAATTCCAGGAGAACCCCAGCCACCACTTTGAGGTTGGTAACACTGCTCTTGGCTTAGCCATAAAAGCAGACTTTCTTATGTCCCTCGTCTTGGCAGCTTTCCCCTATGGCTGCACGAGGAGGACATCCTCCCCTTTCTTTAGAAACTGAAACCAAACAGCACCCCTGGAGACCCGGGTCTGAATCCCCACTCTGCTGTGGAAGCCCACTGGGTGACTTTGGGTCAAATACACACTCTTAGCCTAACTTACCTCATGGAGTTGTTGTGAGGATGAAATGGAGGAGAGGACAATGATGTAAGCAGCTATGGGTCCCTATTGGAGATAAAGGTGGGATATAAATGAAGTAAAATAATATAGCTGAATGGGGGGGCAGATAAAAGGTAGTGGGTTGGTGGATAGGAAGGCGAAAAGGAAAAAGGGAAAGTTGAGGATATGGGGAGAGACAGAGGGAGAGGAGGGGATGCAGGGGGAAATAAGGCGCTTCCTTGCAAACCCTTGCAGTTTCCCCATTGTCTAAATAGGGGAACTGCACAACTGGGCCAGACTTTTCCCAGGGAGAGGCTGCCAGGGGAGAGAAGGAGGGAAAGATGAAGATGTGGGGGGGGGGGAGAGCAGACAAAATTAGGTTGGCTGATGGGTGGGAAGGGAAGACGGAAAAAAGGAGATGCGATGGGGGCTTTCAGGGAAGACAAAGAGGAAATCATTGGGGAGAGAAAAATGAGATGCCCCCCCAAGTCCTTGCAGGTACCCCACTTGTTATATTACTGTTTGTTAACATCTGCAAGGAGTGCCCATTCAGATGGGACTGTCTTTGTCTGAGAAGAAGAAGAAGAAGAAGAAGAAGAAGAAGAAGAAGAAGAAGAAGAAGAAAAAGAAGAAAAAGAAGAAGAAGGAGGAGGAGGAGGAGGAGGAGGAGGGAGGAGGAGGAGATTGGATTTATACCCCGCCCTTCACTACGCAAGGGAGTCTCAAAGTATCACTCAGAGTCTCAGAGCAGCTTACAAACTCCTTTCCCTTCCCCTCCCCACAATAGACACCCTGTGAGGTAGGTGGGGCTAAGAGATCTCTTTCAAGAGCAGCTCTGACAGAACTATGGCTTGCCCAAGGTCATCCAGCCAGGTGCAAGTGGAGGAGTGGGGAATCAAACCCGGTTCTCCCAGATCAGAGTCCGTGCACTTACACCAAACTGGCTCTTGGATACTTGACCTTCCCACTGTTTTGTAGAGTATTCTAACATTTTGTGAACAGCCCTTGGCCCCGATAACATTCAATTTGTGATTGGGCCTTACTTCCTGTGATGCCAATTTTATGGTGGTAACTGCTACTCTTTCTCAAAATGTCAGTAGTGTCTGCAGATACAACTGGGATGGGGACCCCTAGCCTAGAGGTTTGCCTCCATTGAGGGGGGGGGGAGACCTTCCAGTCTGGACCCCTATTCCCACTGCCATTCAACAGGGGGAAATGGGAGGTTCAGGTTAACCAACCATAGAATTGGGGGGTGAATCCTAGAATGTCGTGCATTGGTGTAATACCAGAGAGCTTGTTCTCTGCCCCTCCAATTCTCCTGCTGGGCTACCAGTTATAGCTGGCAACTCTATGGCATTCTTTGGTTCATTTTGAACGACTGAATAGGAACAAAGCATAAATCCCCACACCTGGCTGGCTAATCCTACCAATCATCCCTCCCTTCCATGAAAACTGCTGTAAACGGCCAGAAATGTTTTGTTTCTCTAGAAACAAATATACATGTTACTCCCGTATCTCATCCTGAATGTGGCTCAAGTGGTTAAGACACTGAACTGCAGGCTGTGGAAGGTCAGTAGTTCAGCGGTTCAAGACCCGGGTGCCGCAAGACGGGGTGAGCTCCTGTCTCTAGTTCCAGCTCCTGCCAACCTAGCAGTTCGAAAGCAAGAAATTGCAAGTAGATAAATAGGTACCACTTCGGTGGGAAGGTAACAGCGTTCCGTGCGCCTTGGTGTCTAGTCATGCCGGCCACATGACCACGGAAACGTCTTCGGACAGCGCTGGCTCTTCGGCTTTGAAACGGAGATGAGCACCGCAACCCTAGAGTCGGATTCGACTGGCTTTCGAGCAAGGGAACCTTTACCTTTACCTTTACCTATTCCAGAACAAACTGCAATTTGCTGTTCTTCTTGTGTTTTAGTTAGAGAACGCACTAACGCAGGGGTATCAAACATATGGCCAGCGAGCCGGAACCAGCCCATCCATGACTCCTATCCGGCCTGCAAGCAACTCTTTACCTTTATTGCCAGGTGACAGAGGCTGCGCATTATGTCCCTGCATATTGTTCCACTGCTAATGAGTAATGGATGGTGGAAGGGGGTGGGTGGGCATCAGAGAGATACTGTAAGGAAATACTGTAAGACGGTTAATGTTTAAAGTATGTTTGTATTTTGAGTTTAAAAAATTGTTAATTGGTATAAGCTTTCGTGAGTCACTGCTCATGAAAGCTCATACCCTGCCACAAATTTAGTTAGTCTTTAAGGTGCTACTGGACTCTTGCTCTTTTCTACTGCTTACAGACAGACTAACAGGGCTGCCCATCTTGATCTATCATTAATTGGGTTTGCCTGTGTCTTTTATAAAGTTTATATCTCCGATAGTTGGTATTACATTTTATGGCGCACGCATGGCCTTGCCCGGCCCAACAAAGTGACGTTTATGTCAGATCTGGCCCTCTGAGTTTGATACCTCTGTACTAATGACTACTATGTGCTGCTTTACTTTTCTTTGTGGGTTTGCTGAACAGGTGGTCCACCAAAGGGTCACTATGTATATTTAGTATCTGAAACCCGATCAAGGCCAAATCTGATTGGCTAGTTCCAGCCACATGATAATTTAGAAGCAAATGCATCAGACTAACAGTGCTCTTGCCCAGCGTTTCTCAGGAGGAAGGCAGTTGGAGAGGCTTTGCTGCTAAGGAAATTTATTAATATATTGCTGGTAAGCCCATTTTCTAAAAAAAGGTATATAATGTATATATTGGCCGAACTACATTGTTTGTTTAGCCCAGGGCTTTATGACCTGTTGGATTTTTACAAGAGTAAGAACTAATCAACATTTTTTTCCAGTGTTTGTCTAGCCTATTCAGTGATATAAAGTGTGACTGAGCTGGACATAGTTTTGCTCAAGGGAGATACTGTTCAGCTCTGTGACTTGAAAATATATAGCATAGAGTCTTGATAGATGTTATTTTGGGGGGAAGTTTCTTTAGAACTTTGGCCTTTTTTTTGTTTATAAGTTAACACAGTAGTATTTCACCTTATTTAATTTTAGTGAATATTGGGAATAAATAAATTTATCTTTATTTCCCCCACCCACCTTCAGCCTATTGGCACTATGAAGAGACAGTATCTGAAGTGCCTATATTTAACCTGTGGTATTGAACCGCACTTGCCTCAGAAGGAATTGCAGTTTCGCTAGCTAAACAAAACCAGCCAATCACTCTGAGGTATTAGCTTACATGGCACATACCTTTGAACTAGGAAGCAGCTGTTGTAAACCTTCATCTTTTTGCCTGCATGAGAAAGAGAGGCTGCAGCAACCTCTCACGTCAAGCTCAGAATACAGTAGTGGCCTGACAAACTCATTCCAATGAATGAGTTCTTAGGGTATTTGTTTCATGTGTGCACCCAAGCTATGTGCCTTCTGATATTTTTTTCCAGGTTTGAGGGGGGGAAACATTAAAGAACCAGAGAAGCAAGCCAAGGGAGCATCCATAAAGACCAATGGTGGGAAGAGAGAAGTTAACTTCATTAACTTAAGGTCATTTGAAGTACATTGATGTGATTTTTTTAAAGTAAATATCTGAACTGTACCTTCAAGCAATGTATAATTATAATGGCCTTGCAAACATGTCTACAAAAGTTAACCCACAGCAATGTTTTATTAGGCATCCCTTGCACTGATATTTAAGTAAGGCATTCTGAGGCACAGATGGCTAAAAGAGGACGCTCTTTTCCAGCCTAGGGATGCCAGCCTCCAGGTGGGACCCAGGGAGCCCCTGGAATTACAGCTCATCTCTAGACTACAGAGATCAGTTCCCTCTGGAGAAAATGGATGCTTTGGATGGAGGACTCGATAGCACTGTACCCCACTGAGGCCCCTGTCCTCCCCAGGCTCTACCACCAAAGTCTCTCTCTGGAGAAAATGGATGCTTTGGATGGAGGACTCGATAGCACTGTACCCCACTGAGGCCCCTGTCCTCCCCAGGCTCTACCACCAAATCTACAGAAATCTCCCAGCCTGGATCTGGCAACCCTACCCCCCCCCATCCCTCTCTGGTGGCCAAGGGGGACCTGGCTATTCCAGCCTCACTTTAAAAAGGTTCCCTGTATGGTCAAGTGGAAATGAATTCTATTTGCTAAAGGTGACCAGATGAGTAGCTGTGTACAAACCTGTTTAACATCACCACCAAGGGAAATTCTCCATTATTCACATCTGTCATAAGAACATAACAGAAGCCAATGTTGGATCAGGCCAAAGGCCCATCTAGTCCAACACTCTGTCACACAGTGGCCAGAAATACCACGTGCAATCAGGAGGTCCACCAATGGGGCCAGGACACTAAAAGCCCTCCCACTGTTGCCCCCCCACAAGCACCAAGATTACAGTGCATCACCTGCCCCAACCTGTGAGTTCCTATCTATACCTTGTGACTAATAGCCACATCTTAAATATTTTGGCAAGCTGATTTGACTTCAGTGCCATTGTCACATCATGTTCTGTGATACTGGGTTGGCACTACAGTCCGTACACCCCATCGCAGGCACTTAAATTGTTCAAAGTGTTCTGGCTGCAGGCCCAAGGATCAGAACTGCATGTAATATTTCCACCAGGTGATGATTAATGGAGGAAGAATATTGTTAGTGTTATGCTTGATGCTGGGAGCCACAGCCAAGGGAGAGTGCCAATTGTTTATATTGTCCTAGAAGATGTTGCACAGACTTTCAGCACATGAGCAGAGATACTAAAAGACATGCCTCAGGTTTGCAGCTAGGGTGACTGACCTTTTAAAAAGCATTTATTCGAAATGGAGTCATGTCTGGTATGCAAGACTCTCTTTGATCAGAAATATGCTTGATATTAGTATTTTAAATGCCCCAAATGCATTATATAAACAGGAATCATGCATGTCATAATTTACTTTAGAGTCCAGTGGCACTTTTAAGACTAACAAAGGTTTATTCAAGGTATGAGCATTCGTGTGCATGTACACTTTTTCAAATACATTGGAATGCAAGGTAAGAGTTCAAACTTATAGACAGAGGCTGTCTTAGGGTTGCCAAGTCCGAAGCGGCACTGGAGCGGGGGACTCCAGCGCTGCTCCAGGAGTGTGTGCGCATGCGCAGAGTGCACACATGCCGCAACCACGTCACCCAGAAGTGACGCAACCACGCCGGGCATGCTGGGGGCGGGGCCACGACCATCCAAGGGAAAACCATGGAGTTTTCCCTCGGATGACCGTGGCCCCGCCCCCAGCATGCCTGGCATGGTCGGGTCACTTCTTGGTGACGTGCCCGTTGCGTGCTTTGGGGGTGGGGTTCCCTCCGGGGCCTGATCCGCCGCCGGTGGGGAATGGGCCTCTGGGGCAGGGTTTTCCCCACCCCCCGGGGGGCCTTGGCAAGCCTAGGCTGTCTACAAGTTTGAACTCTACCTTCCATTCCAATGTATTTGCAAAAGTGTACATGCACACGAAAGCTTATACCTTGAATAAACCTTTGTTGGTCTTAAATGTGCCACTGGACTCTAATTTTGTTCTACTGCTTCAGACCAACACGGCTGACCACCTGGAACTATAATTTACTTTATTTTCTTTAGCTGTGTATGTATTCCTTATTGTGATTCCAAGATATAGGAACACATACAATGGAATCGTCGTATCTGGCCACCTAAAGGAACATTACAGGAACTGACATAAGGCTTTATGTAAGGTGGATTTAATAGGCAATAAAAGTATGTTTAAGAAGATGAGTGAATAAAGCCTACAAGTCCATTAAGTGAGATGTTTGTGCAAATGGAAACCTTTATTAAGGTGGAAAGTTGGTATGCAAATTTTAAAATAAGACAATAAAATGTGTTTTTTTCTAGCCAGTTGTCTTTTCCTTTCAAAAGGGTTTTCAGTTAGTTTAATCCAGATGTGAACTACTTTTTGTAATTAGTGATTTCAGTGGGAAACCATATAAATAAAAATATTGGTTTGGATCCTACATCTGTTTTCTACTGATGGTGGCATTTTTGTCCAGTTCAGAGGCTCCTTTTGCAGGAGAAAAAAACCTGTATTAGTGTAAACATTCTGTAGAACCCAATCCATTATTATGACAGTGTATAATCATCCCAGGATGCATGCATTTAAATTAATTTGTTGCTAATGGTAAACCATATTGTACTTATAGTGCTAAATGCTTCATTTTTCATCTGTTTTGTGGCCAGTCAGTAGGTGACAGACAGAGAAACACTCTGCAAAGATGGCAGAAGAAGAGGAATATGAGGAGGTTGTGGAGGTAAGACCTATTTTTTTTGGGGGGGGGGTCTTGTTGCTTTCCTGGACTGGAGATGTGCATGTTAATTGCTTAGTCAGATGAAACGTCAACAACTAATAGCAAGTGAGGACTCTTAAGATTCCTGCCTCTACAATTTGAGTGTGTTCAGATTCATTGTCCAGATCAGACTACTGGTTATAGAAACTGTTAAGTCATCAGTTTGGTTGACCTCAGTTGCAGCTGTTGGGTCCTCCAACTTGGTGACTTGTGAAAACATATGACAGCAGTGTTGTCCATCTTTCTTTATGATATTGTTACCAAAATTTGGAAAATTCATAGTAGTAATATCATCATTATTTAATATTAATAATAATGATTATGATGACTAATAAGTAAGGATTGTTTACACGAAGGCTGACACTGCCTGAATCGCAGGCTATGAAACCTAATTTGATTATAGCTGTAAGAAGCAACAGCCTTTAACATGATATTTGGGTGACTTCGCACACTTTTTTTTTTTTTTTGCCAATCCAGGCTTATACAAAGCAATTCTGAGCTCCACACAACACTGTTATACAAGCCACTGTAATCAATGTGGTTGCCTTGATAAGTAGATTTCACAATGTCACTTAAAGACACTACTGAACATCTTACTTACCGTACTATCTTACGCTTTTGACACAAGGCACTCCTGTATTTCACAGTGGTCCTACACATTGGCAGGAGACATTTGTGGGCTAAAGTTCTCTACAGAGTTGAAAGTGTTGTACGAAGGATTTCACTGTCTTGGCCAGTGACATTTAACTCATCTGGTGTGCAAGGACCTTGTTTTGTGCATGCTGTAGGTGGTCAGTGGTGAAATCGGAGGAATCTTTTGCCCAAAATATTTTGGTTTATTATGACAACAAGAGCAGTCATATATTCCATGTGTCCGTACCTTCCGTGTCATATACATGTGGTATTCATGCCCATTATCTCATCACTGTCTGTTTCTTACTAGTCTAATTATTTTGTTGTATTTCTCAAAGTCATTTTGATTTTACTTTAAAGAGCACCATGCAGAGTTTTTGCTTCAGAAAGATGTCTGACTTTTCCTCTCTCTTTGGAATGTTCAGAGCTGGATTAAAAAGTTATAAATAAAATGGCAACAATTGCAGCTGGTATTAGTTTTAAGCCACTTACCCCTTTCCAGAAAGAGTAAAAATAAATCTTCATCACTGCTTGCCAGTTCTGCATTACTCTCATATTTTCACTCTATATGAAACACATTTATGTTCAGTGGATAGTGTAAAGTATTGCTGAGCAAAAGGCGATTGGCTCAGTAGGAGCCAACATGCTGTTTTAAAGGGCATCCTATAGAGAACTCTTTAGTAGCCCGGACATCTTGCGTCTGGGCTGGGCTGTACTGTAGGTCAAAGACAGAGAACCTGTTTTCTTGGTGTGAAGGCCGCATTGCCAGCATACATGTACTTCTTTACAAACTCTGGCATGTGCTTGTATGCACACATACTCAGGAAGCTGTGCTGCTATTATTATCATCATCATCATCATCATCATCATCATCATCATCATCATCATCATCATCATCATCATCATCATCATCATCATCATCATCATCATCATCCTGCCCTACCCCCAAAAATGTACCCTCATTTAGAAACAGGACTTGCATTATTCTGCTGCCAATGTGTGTACAGTTGATCTTTCTTTTCTCTTCTTATTTATGTTCTTTTTTGCTCTCTTTTATGCCACTGCATTCTTAGCCATGTGCATTCTGACAGTTGCACATGTGGAAATCTTACTGGTAGACAGTGAAGAAGAAGAGGAGAGAAATCTCTCCCTGTGTGCTTTTCACTCAGGCTGGCAATGGCATATTTAGCCTGGATAGTAGCATTCCTCTTTTTTGGACAACCTGCTTTGTGAAAGTAGTCCTCAGTTGTTGGTGTTGGTAGTGGCAGACCTAGCCAATCCTTAAATGCCTAGGGTGAACATGGTCTTGAAATGGCCAGTGACTCTGTTCTTTTCAGTCCATGCTGTATCTTATGTTGAACTGGAAATAATGCAGTTTGTAACACCGACAATATGGGTCTGTGAACAGGCCTGCCTTTGGCATTCATTTATAGGAATCTATCCCTATACATCATTTTCCCATAAAATGAGAATAATAATAATATGAAAAAGAGAGATAAATCATAGTGACTCTGACATCACTTATAGTAGGATCAGGGATTCCTCAGGTACACTAAATTAGACTGCACAATAAACAAGGCGGGTAATTCTAGACAAACCGAGCAATAGTTTTTGATGAATAATTGTTCTTGTGAGGATGAGTGTAGTTGTTTGAAATTGTAAAGTATCTTGGAGCTTTGTTTCTGCTGCAAGCCCTGTCAAAACATGGACATTGGGATCAGATCCTGTTTGCCACTAATATTAGTATACATTTTGTTGTGATTAAAATAAATTTCCAGAAATGAAATTCTAATTTCTTGTGATTTCTTGGCTTTTTCCAAAAACCCTACAAAAGTACTGGTTTAAAACCCATTTGAAGATATAGGTTTGGTCAGTGAAATTCAGTGTTACCAATCCAAATTGGTGTACAAGTTATACACATTTGCAACACGTAGTCCTATCATTGCAGGTAAAAAGATGTTCCTGTTCAGCTTTTTTGGCTGTTCTGGATGTAATTTTAGTTCAAAGCCAATCAATTCTATTAACTTTCAAGCTAGTTTCTATAGGGGACTGCTGACTAGTTCATAGGAACAAGGATTTCTTCAGAGTAAACTGAGCAGACTTGAAGTAACTGTGGAGAATTTTGGTCCCATGATTTCAGGATATCCCATGTGCATCACAGTT